TCTTCTCAGATCACACTTTATTGGAGCGCCTCTTGGTTAAGGGACTTTGTCTTTAGTATTTTTTTTTTCATAACACCGGCCTTTATCCCTGTTCATTTGTCCTTTTTCTTTATTCCTTTTTTTTTCTTCCCTTTTTTTCTTTAACCCTTTTTTTCTTTAGCCCCAAGTTCGGGCGCCACTATATAACTGTATTTATTAAAATATAAAACTATGTGTTTGATAAATTGTTCTCCTAGCATATAGGAAAGAAGGCATTATAAAAAACCTATATTAATTTCTTTCATATAGATTTTGATCTAGAGTTAATACATAATAAAACATGCAACTATTGTATGATGTGATAATTGCCAGAAGAGGGACAGGTCCAAAAGTGTTAATACAAAGTGAATTACAAGCAGAAGTCAAGTGCAGTTGTTTTTATTATAGCAGAAAGAAAAGTATTTCCTATGAATGCAAGAGCATGAAATAGAAAAAGATCATGTGATTACACCATAGATGAGAGACAGAAAATAATAGAAAACTGGAAAAAAAGGTTATGACTAATTAGCTATATAAAACAGTTGAGATATTAACCTAAGGCAGTGTGGTGATATTTTATTTGTGCTGAAATGTGGTGATATTTTACTTGTATGTTAATAAATAAAGTTTGCCTGGAGATCAGAGGACATAGAAAGCCATCCATAAACAAAAGTCAGGCGGTGGTAGCACACGCCCTTAATCTGATCACATGGAAAGCAGAGTCTCTGTGTGTTCAAGGACACAGCCAAGTGTGGTGACACATGCCTTTAATCCCAGTACCAAATGTAGAGACCTGGAGTTCTGTATAGACAGGCAGTGATGAGAAAGTGAGGCTGGGCTAAGAGCCAATGAGAAGGCAGAACAGCAAGGTAATAAAGGCCCAGGTTAGACAGGAAGTTGCTGGTTCTCTGGGGTAGCTGCAGTGGTGAGGTGAGCTAAGGTTATGTGGTAGCTCTCACTATTTATCTGATCTCTATGGCTTTCACCCCTGTATTTGGCTCTGTGTTTCTTATTTAATAAGGCTGTTTAGAAATTTGTCTACAAGGCAGCACTTATAAACACTTGTGTCACAGGGCTATTCTTAACATGTTCCAAGGAACGTTTTATTTGTATACTGAATATCAGGATTTTTCATATTGAAATT